GGAAAATACGGAGCGTAGCGGTTGGTAATGTTCTCTAGTTGCGCCGTGATTGGCTCAGTGTTCTGTCACTCATGGGGACACTACGTCACCGCAAAATCTACAGGGAGAGCAAAAAAATTCAAGCCTCTTGGGTGCTGCCACAGAGTTAAATTAGAAGTGCCCATCCAAGAAGGCTCAAGGTCATTGGCCGCAGATAAAATGACATCAAATAACGCTATATCTACCATAGCTTTGAATGGACAGATCATGTCAACATCATACTTTCAAAATCTTAGCTAGCAAGTGTATGTTGTGTAGTAAGCTGTTAGTAGCCCATGTGCCTCAATCTAATAATTTGGTCCCTTTCCCCATCATAACTTATCCTACTGTTCTGACTTGGTGGTGCACATGTTTTAGAGAAATGTAATCATCGAATATTGTAAGAGCTTTCATTGTCTGCTTATATGCCCCCTTTATTTTTCCTACGGTTCTGACTTGCTGTACAGGGAGAATGCTGTAAGAACGGCACATGTTCTGAATTCTGTCACTGTACATTTCAAATAGTTGAACAAATTGTTATATTAACTACGTCTGTCCTAGCTTGCTCATTAATGTCATAATTGAAATGATGGATTTCCTCTTATCCGCTCGTTGTCCCCTTATGCCATAGTTTGTACATCTCAATTGTCAGTAGAAACCACATTTGTTTAAGCAAGTCAGCCATTTTTTAAAAGGCAGTAAATGAGGCTGAATGAACTGTTTCGCTGCCAGACAAGGCTCCACTGATAGCCAGGTGTAAGGATTCACTCCATGGTGCTGAAAATAAAGTTCTGCTGTTGGTACACCTTTATGTAGGCCCTAACAGTTTGTGGGCACCATTATAGTGCAATTCATGTATTGTTTAGTGTTGTGTAGTGGCTTTGCCGGCATGCATCTAAACATATACAGTGGGGAGAACAAGTATTTGATACACTGCCGATTTTGCAGGTTTTCCTACTTACAAAGCATGTAGAGGTCTGTAATTTTTATCATAGGTACACTTCAACTGCGAGAGACGGAATCTAAAAAACAAATCCAGGAAATCACATTGTATGATTTTTAAGTAATTAATTTGCATTTTATTGCATGACATAAGTATTTGATCACCTACCAACCAGTAAGAATTCCAGCTCTCACAGACCTGTTAGTTTTTCTTTAAGAAGCCCTCCTGTTCTCCACTCATTACCTGTATTAACTGCACCTGTTTGAACTCATTACCTGTATAAAAGACACCTGTCCACACACTCAATCAAACAGACTCCAACCTCTCCACAATGGCCAAGACCAGAGAGCTGTGTAAGGACATCAGGGATAAAATTGTAGACCTGCACAAGGCTGGGATTGGCTACAGGACAATAGGCAAGCAGCTTGGTGAGAAGGCAGCAACTGTTGGCGCAATTATTAGAAAATGGAAGAAGTTCAAGATGACGGTCAATCATCCTCGGTCTGGGGCTCCATGCAAGATCTCACCTCGTGGGGCATCAATGATCATGAGGAAGGTGAGGGATCAGCCCAGAACTACACGGCAGGACTTGGTCAATGACCTGAAGAGAGCTGGGACCACAGTCTCAAAGAAAACCATTAGTAACACACTACGCCGTCATGGATTAAAATCCTGCAGCGCACGCAAGGTCCCCCTGCTCAAGCCAGCGCATGTCCAGGCCCGTCTGAAGTTTGCCAATGACCATCTGGATGATCCAGAGGAGGAATGGGAGAAGGTCATGTGGTCTGATGAGACAAAAATAGAGCTTTTTGGTCTAAACTCCAATCGCCGTGTTTGGAGGAAGAAGAAGGATGAGTACAACCCCAAGAACACCATCCCAACCGTGAAGCATAGAGGTGGAAACATCATTCTTTGGGGATGCTTTTCTGCAAAGGGGACAGGACGACTGCACCGTATTGATGGGAGGATGGATGGGGCCATTTATCACGAGATCTTGGCCAACAACCTCCTTCCCTCAGTAAGAGCATTGAAGATGGGTCGTGGCTGGGTCTTCCAGCATGACAACGACCCGAACACACAGCCAGGGCAACTAAGGAGTGGCTCTGTAAGAAGCATCTCAAGGTCCTGGAGTGGCCTAGCCAGTCTCCAGACCTGAACCCAATAGAACATCTTTGGAGGGAGCTGAAAGTCCGTATTGCCCAGCGACAGCCCCGAAACTTGAAGGATCTGGAGAATGTCTGTATGGAGGAGTGGGCCAAAATCCCTGCTGCAGTGTGTTCAAACCTGGTCAAGACCTACAGGAAACGTATGATCTCTGTAATTGCAAACAAAGGTTTCTGTACCAAATATTAAGTTCTGCTTTTCTGATGTATCAAATACTTATGTCATGCAATAAAATGCAAATTAATTACTTAAAAATCATACAATGTGATTTTCTGGATTTTTGTTTTAGATTCCGTTTCTCACAGTTGAAGTGTACCTATGATAAAAATTACAGACCTCTACATGCTTTGTAAGTAGGAAAACCTGCAAAATCGGCAGTGTATCAAATACTTGTTCTCCCCACTGTATATATTTTTTGCCCCACCAAGATTTACATGCTAAAATCGCCACTGGACGCGCTGCAAGTCCCGCCTCTCCCATCTACTCATTGGTTTTTAGGAGGATACTAACCCACATGGGTAATTGAAAGATGAACAAGGTCCACACTCCAGTCTAGTTGGTGGGGGTAATGCACCTTAAAGTTGGTTGCCAACCGCCATATAAAACCCACAGAAGAAGAATGAATGAGGAGCGATGAATCAAAGAAAACAAACTAAAAACTAACTAGGTTTCCCCTTTTATCTGTGGGTTAAATGTCGGAGTAGAGAACACACAATTTTGTGTGCCTCAAAATGGGTCAAAATGCTATAAAGATCCAGCAAAAAAAGGAACATATGCATTTCAGGTAAAACAACAACCCAATGTTTATCTCCCAGGACAAATTAGCTAGCTAAATGGCCATGAATGTTTCATGTGTGTTTCGACCTGTCCCCAAATTAATATAGTTGGTTCACAGTTGGTTTTGGTATTTTAACCTGTGTGTCATGAATGTGTCTGGTTGGGATAGACAAAATCAACATGCGCACAATGGCGGACGCACACGCATAGCCAGTTTGGTCAGCATGCTCTGAGCGTGGCTCTACGAGTGTGGATCTCAAGTTAGGATTCTAGAGTCTGGGGCTCAATTCAGATGTTTTGAATGTTTTGGTACCAGTGGCATTTCCAGAAAATGTTTAATGGCATCAAGGTGGATTTTTTCAATATAATTATGATGGTTCAACGCATTAAATGCTTCAGCTTAGGTTTGGTACATTTCCCAGTTTAAATAAATCATAAATCAGTTACAGTATTTGCATTAAAGGTCAAGATTTTATATAAGGGTATTAGCATACAGCAGTAAAATCACTTGAAAGTGCCATCCAGAGTGCGAATTATATCGTGACATTCGGTGGTCTTCTATGTGTGCACGCACTTGCGCGCGCACAAAAATTATTTATGGGCTTTATAGTAAAAACATGTAATTTAACTAAAAATGTATTACCTTTTAATGTGTCATGAACACATCTAGTCGAGATGTTTTCATCTGATTGTCAAACATTCACTTCAAAAAGTAGGTTACCTGCGCATGTTCATCTTCTCCAAAATGAGTCCAGCATCCAAGCAGTGCCATTTGAATAGAAAGGGACATTTGTTACAAAAAGTCTTACTGTCAGTGCAAGTTTTGGTAAAAATTATCAATATATTTTGAGGCCACCCAACCTGATCTCATAGTTTCACTTCGGAATTTGCAAAAACGAAACGTTGATTTTTGACCCATTAATTCTGCGTGGTTACAGGGTTAATTATGCATGGTTACAGGGTTAAAACAGAAACAGCTCAAACGGTTAAGTTTAGGTGTTAATTTCGAGTGGTTAAGGTTAGGGCTATAGTTTTGGGAAGGCTTAAAACAAAATACTTAAAAACAATGTGCTGTTTCCATTAAGTATCATCGAGTACTCTCCCGGCTTGCTAAAGAACTGTGAACTGCAGTGGTCTAAGCAATGTGCTCTGAGCCTCGTGAGTTTGAGCCCAGTTTTGTGCCATAGTTTTTTTATTTTGGGGGGATTCGCGCACACACAGGGATTTATCGACGTCCTCAGGACCTTTTCAAACGTCCGAAATCGACGGTTCTTTCTTGTGACCAGCCTGGGCCACGCCACTGTTTGGTACACACATACCACTGGAGAGAAACAACAAACCCTGGACCCAACCCCCCAGAAAACAGCATTGGAAAAATAATGATCCGGAAAAGTATGATCATTCATGTTTGTTTGAGGAATTGAAATATGTTAATTGTCCATGCATATGTACTGTAAATAAAGATTCTAAACTTGCATATTGATTTTACACGTTTCATGATAATCTTTTGTATACAACAGGGACATGTTGAAAGCAGTGTCTGAGAGACTAAAAGATCAATGTTGAAAAAGACAGGTGTCAGACACAGCTTCGCTCAGAACTTTGTTTGTTCTCTCTGAGTAAGGTTTATCATCAACAACAACACACCAATACTGTTAATATCTACTGTAAACAATATGATTTAGAAAATATGTAAACTATAATTTAAACCAGTCTTGATCATCTTAATTCTCTTCATAAAGGGATTGCCATTGATTGGTTGAGGTGCACCTCAACTCTGATCTGGTTGTTTGAGGTCTACCTCTGCTCTCATCTGATTGGGTGAAGTTGTACTGGTTAAAGGGTTAAGAACCTGTTGCAACATGATGACCTATTCAATTAGACATACAGTACAACTAACTAATGAATAAATAAAAATACATTAATATAAAAATAAACTCATATTAATAGATTCACTTTTGATTCACTTTTGATTTAGAAATTGGCACAGATTTACTTTACAGACATTCGTTAAAAAAACCCAGATCTTCGTCTTAAGACATTGATGTTGAGGAAATACGTTCACGTGTGTGTGTGTATAAAGGTCTCTGTGTGTTTCTCAGGGTCCGGCAGCCTTGTAGTGGGAGGGGACTGTCTCCAAGGTGATCTCTAGACTGTCTATCTCTGAGCTCTTGGCATTGGGAACAGGGGGTGCAGTTTTAACCGGGGGTCCGGGAGGGCCTGGTGCATGGGGTACAACAGGAGACATACTGTCCTGTAGTGAGAGCTGCACAGTGTTGACGTTGACATGACAACGTCTCGGATACTGTTTAAAACACTCAAACGTATCCTGGCAGTGCTCGCAGGGGCATTGCGAGGAGCATAGCACTGCGTGGGCCGTGGCAGCAGTGGTCACCACATTGGGGGCGGAGTTTGATTCTGATCCCTGCGGGCATAGCCAGCGTAGCGTAACGGCAAGGACGGAGCGGTAGGAGAAGCGGCGGAGGTAGCGGACACAGCGACACTGAAGAACACAGGCCCTGTGGAGGGAGTGAAGGTCTTTAGACAGGAGGTGGCGGAAATTGGGCTTCAGCAACAGATAGACCAGAGGGTTGTAGAGGGTTGAGGACTTAGCAAACATGGCAGGGATGGCAAACGCCATCGGAGGGATGGAGTCCATGTGACCGAACGCTGCCCACATGGAGACCAGGGCGTAGGGACTCCACGCTGCGAAGAAACCAATACACACCGCCACGCTGAGCTAGAGAGGGGAGGGGGAGAGAGAGAGAGAAATGACCATTATTTACATAAAGGATTTATTAGTCTTGGTACAGTTTGACAATTCTGTTCTGAGTTAGGTGTCAAGGAAATGTATTCTTTGCTGCAAATGTGAAATATGAGTTTTCAAAGAGAGACAAAGCTACTGCATACCCAGCCCAGTCTGGGACCGTTAAAAGGTAAAGCTAAACTGTTCTGTCCTTTCTGGAGAGAAGCCTTTATTGCATAGTGATTGGAGTGTCGTAGCTGCATTGAGCCAGGTAGTTGAAACATATTGAGGAAATAGTCTGACTACCGCCATAGAGTTTCTAAACCCAGAGGCCCAACATCGCGATACTTCCGTGAACGCTTCGCGAAGCCGACAGACCAGACAAGGGTTTGGAAAGTCAATGGGAGAAGTGAACAATTATTCCTTAGTTGTTCATTTTCTCAAAATCTAAAGGCACAATGTAGATTCAAGCCAATGTCTGAAGTAGCTGAACATGTTATTACTCCAACCTTGAGAAAGTGACAAACTGACATGTTTTCATTTTCGTCAAAAACTACTTTATATCACAGTAGTGCCTTTGCCTTGGTGGCATGGACATGTGCAGTTCAGCGCGAGATGACCGTCAGACCAGATTACATGTTTCTTAATCTTTATTCAGTACTACAGTATCTTCATACTGCATCATGCTCTACCAACTGAGCCACACGGGACAGCAGACATTTAGTTTAACGCTGGAATCCATAATGGTGAAACTACCACATCGGATATTACAACAACAAAGAAGTTACTGCAAACACCGAACACAGTTTTCTTTCCCTCGCACATCATTTCGCGATGCTCCTCGCCTCCGCTTCGTCAAAAAATCTAAAAGAATAACAACGTAGGTGGGGCGGACAGTGGCACTGTTTCCCTACTGCGGATTCCATCTTTAATTACGTGTGTGTGTGCATCTATACCGTTACCTTCACTATGGTGGTCTGTACATTCCCCATGCGTGTCTGCTGTGAGACGTGTTGCTCCACTGCTCTCCGTGACTCCCTGACCGTGACCAGGATCTGTGAGTAGGCGGAAGTGATGACACAGCAGGGCAGAATGTAGCAGCAGAGGAACAGTGCCACAGTGTAGGACCTGGCCACACCGTCCCGGTTGGACCGCTGTAGAATTAATGAAAGATGATTTGTATTTTTGTGTCGAATAGCCCTTAGCGACTTACAGGATTATCTGACACATTTTCAAAGTAAGTTAAAATGTACAAAACAATTAATTCATAGCCTTTGGGGTTCCACTGACCACTATATATAAAAATAATAATCTAAAGTGTTGAATAGTAACAAAGACTCCATGAAAAAAGTAATAGACAGAACAAATAATAAGTAAGAGGAGACGAACCTGCCAGTCGATACAGCAGGCCGTGCCATAGGGCTCTGGGCCATATGCACCCCAATGGGCTAGAGGGGAACAGGCAAACACCAGGGCATAAGCCCACGCACACACTATCAGGATACGACCGTGGTCTGGGCTGAACCGGTTACCTGTGGGGGGGATCATACACAGTCAGCCATAGTATGGTAAGAATCAGTAACAGTGATGTTTAATGGTTATGCAGTCAAAAGAGCCTTAATGCATTCATATTGCAGAAACACAGAAACAGTCACAGGTATAGATGGTCTTGTTGTCATGTGGTCAGACAGTTGTAGAGCGGTCGTAGTTTGGTCAAAGAAAATAACAACAAGAAGAGATTGTCATAGTGTGGATCCTAGATGGTCATGTTGAGGTCAGCGGTGCTGTGGTCTTACCGTAGAGTGGGTAGCAGACCTTGAGGCAGCACACAGTACTGAGGATGGTCAGGGTGGTCAGACTGCAGATACCAAACAACACTCCACAGAAGGCATAGACCAGACACACTGTCTTACCGTACAACCACCTGGGAGAGAGAGAGGAGAGGTGGGGAGGTAGAGGGAGGGGAAGGGGGAGAGGCGTCGAAGGAGGGGAAGGGGGAGAGGCGTAGGGGAAGGGGGAGAGGCGTAGAGGGAGGGAGAGGCGTAGAGGGAGGGGAAGGGGGAGAGGCGTAGAGGGAGGGGAAGGGGGAGAGGCGGCAAGGGAGGGAGAGGCGGCGAGGGAGGGAGAGGCGGAGAGGGAGGGAGGGAGGGAGGGAGGGAGAGGGAGGGAGAGGGAGGGAGGGAGAGGGAGAGAGGGAGAGGGAGGGAGGGAGGGAGGGAGGGAGGGAGGGAGGGAGGGAGGGAGGGAGGGAGGGAGGGAGAGTGTTATTACTCAGATATTAAATCAGCTGAGTGAGTGTATGAATGTGTTTAATATGCGTGTGCGTGTGTATGTATTTGTATCTAACCAACCTGTGGTAGATACTAGATGTCACAGCCAGGGGGTAGAGGCTAAGGGTCATGCCCAGGTCACTGACAGCCAGGTTAATGATGAAGAACTCTGCTGGTTTCAGCAGAATCTTCTTATTATAGGAGACATAGAGTAGTATGGTGTTACCCACCAGAGAACACACACCTGGGGGAAGGAGGGAGGGAGGGAGGGAGGTAGGGAGGGGAAGAGATGGAGGGGAAGAGAGGGAAGAGAGGGAGGGAGAGGGAGGAAAATGTTACTTTAAAAACCTTTATTGAGTTGACATCATACATAACACAAACACATTAAAAAACATTACAAATCTGGAGGCGGTCCAAGATGAGTAGCACTTTATAGGGAACCCGGCCCTCCTTCACAATAATCTGATTTAAAGTCCAACCACAATCAGCCAGCCAGTCAGCCAGCAAGTCAGTCAACCAGCCTGCTGTCTAACCAGTCAGTCGGTCAGCCAGTCAGCCAGCCAGTCCTGCCCACACAGAGCTCTCTGAGCCACCATCAATCTCGAGCGTATTGTTTTCCTGCATGCTGTCTGAGGGGGGATTATGTCTTTAAACGCTGCCTGTTCCTTTAATAAAGCCGTATTATTACACTAATCAACATGCCAGGGGATGTTTAAGGGGTACTGAGAGATACACATGTGTTGTAGTCCTCTGTAGCTCAATTGGTAGAGCATGGCGCTTGTAACACCAGGGTAGTGGGTTCGATCCCCGGGACCTCCCATACGTAAAAATGTATGCACACATGACTGTAAGTCACTTTGGATAAAAGCGTCTGCTAAATGGCATATTATTATTATTATTATTATTGTGTTTAGGTACCTTATGGGAGGTTAACGCAATTAACACTTGGAGACAAAGGGGTGATTAGTCACTAAGTTTAATCTGTTTTCTGTGTACACACACACACACTAATCAACGTTCAACTGAACACAGGCAGAAAGGGAAAAAAATTGCCCACACTAAAGATGTCTATATCAGTCCGCTAATACAGGACTAGTAAAGGCCCAGTGGACTATGGAGGACTAAAAGTGCCACAATTAAATAAATAAATACACCATTAAATAATTACTTAAATGTGTCATTAATTAATTAAAATTAGAATTAAATACATAAATGTGTAATTAAATGTATCATTAATTAATTCAAATACCGATTCATTTTATGTAAAATACATATATAATTATTTCACTATTTACATTTACATTTCATGATCCTGCATTGCAGTGATTCATGAATTACTTAAAACTGTCAAACTGACCCATCAAAGTCAGTGGGCGGGGCTAACGCGAATCTAGTCTGATCCATTGCTTTGGTCTGAAGTAGAGTAGGCCAACCTGGATAGAGACAATGGAGGATCTCCGTGAACTTTCCAGGGAGTTGGTTAGAGACATTTTAAACTTAGCAGAGGATGTAGAAGCAGGACCTGCTGACATTATCCGGAATTGATTTGTCTTGGCTTGATGCAGAGGGTAACCAATCAGGCGTTAGGTTCCGCCTACCAACTTTTGATGGGTCAGTTTGACAGTTTTAAGTAATTCAGGAAGCACTCCAACGCAGGACCATGAAATGTAAATGTAAATAGTGAAATTATTATATATGTATTTTACATAAAATGAATCGGTATTTGAATTAATTAATGACACATTTAATAACACATTTATGTATTTAATTCTAATTTTAATTAATTAATGACACATTTAAGTAATTATTTAATGGTGTATTTATTTATTTAATTGTGGCACTTTTAGTCCTCCATAGTGGACTAGGTAAAAACTTAAAAACTAAATGTATTTGTATTTGAGTGTTTACCAGCATTTGTAACTTGAGTCTGATAATTATCTGTACAAAACAGTTAAGCTGATAATGCTTGTGGAATATAAAAAATACTTGCTTGATATGTTTTCCAGTTTCTTGAAATACTTTGCAAATGCAACTCATCCCTTTTACTAGATGCTCTTATCGAACCCACAACCCTAGTGCTGCAAGCGCCATGGTCTACCAACTGAGCCACATCACATCACATCATTACAAACCACTTAATGTCTCAATGTACTCAATTACTGTATTGTGTATTGTTTTTCTTCATGGTGATGGAAAGTCTACAGGTACAAACCTATATGACCAGCCTATGTACAATACAGTAATGTGCATTTACATTGTGGTTTGTAAGGATGGTAAATTAATACCGCACAAAAAGTGGTTGTTTTCCATGTTATTTGGTAAAGGAAAATATGTAATTTGATGTGGATGTTTTGTGTCTTTGCCCATAACTTTGCACCTTTGATGTAAATGTTTGAGGACAGAGTTTTGTTCTTTCTGGATCCATTAGAAGGACAATAGCAGAGAAAGGGACAGGGCTACAACTCTTACAATTCCAACTATTGAATCCTGCAAGATACTGTTCTTAATTATACAACTACCTTTCTTGCCAAAGTAGAGATGCTGAAACAATGTTTTTGCCCATGCTACAGACATCTATATCGGTCCGCTAATACCAGTAAAGGCCCAGTGCACATATTTTGTATTTTCTTTAGCATTTTAATTTTTTAAATATATGTTTTATTTATTCTGATTTTTCAAGGGGTGCTGCAGGACTTTACGGTAAGAGAGCCATTACCTGAAATGATAGGTCTTAATGTGGTTTATTTGTGAACCTTAGACCATAAAGGATTGAAACTGTAGGTTTTGGGACAGAAAGATACTTAAATTCCTGTTCTGTCAACCAATCTATCTTGTGAAATTATATAATGTATCCAAGTGAGCAGACACCTAAGGCAATTGTGACTAACTTGTATACAGGTAGACCAGAAAAGCCACATCCCTGATTGGTAGATGAGAGAAAATCCTGATTAGAAGCACCTGCTGCTCATCGGTTGTTCCCTACAAATGCTGTTTCGAATTCAATGTCTCTATAAGCTTGGCACATCTAGCCACTGGGATTTTTGCCCATTCTTCAAGACAAAACTGCTCCAGTTCCTTCAAATTGGATGGGTTCCGCTGGTGTACAGCAATCTTTAAGTCATACCACAGATTCTCAATTGGATTGAGGTCTGGGCTTTGACTAGGCCATTCCAAGACATTTAAATGTGTCCCCTTAAACCACTCAAGTGTTGCTTTAGCAGTATGCTTAGGGTCATTGTCCTGCTGGATGGTGAACCTCCGTCCCAGTCTCAAATCTCTGGAAGACTGAAACAGGTTTCCCTCAAGAATTTCCCTGTATTTAGCGCCATCCATCATTCCTTCAATTCTGACCAGTTTCCCAGTCCCTGCCGATGAAAAACATCCCCACAGCATGATGCTGCCACCACCATGCTTCACTGTGGGGATGGTGTTCTCGGGGTGCTGAGAGGTATTGGGTTTGCACCAGACATTGCGTTTTCCTTGATGGCCAAAAAGCTCAATTTTAGTCTCATCTGACCAGAATACCTTCTTCCATATGTTTGGGGAGTCTCCCACATGCCTTTTGGCGAACACCAAACGTGTTTGCTTATTTTTTTCTTTAAGCAATGGCTTTTTTCTGGCCACTCTTCCGTAAAGCCCAGCTCTGTGGAGTGTACGGCTTAAAGTGGTCCTATGGACAGATACTCCAATCTCTGCTGTGGAGCTTTTCAGCTCCTTCAGGGTTATCTTTGGTCTCTTTGTTGCCTCTCTGATTAATGCCCTCCTTGCCTGGTCCGTGAGTCTTGGCAGGTTTGTTGTGGTGCCATATTCTTTCCATTTTTTAATAATGGATTTAATGGTGCTCCGTGGGATGTTCAAAGTTTTGGATATTTTTTTATAACCCAACCCTGATCTGTACTTCTCCACAACTTTGTTCCTGACCTGTTTGGAGAGCTCCTTGGTCTTCATTGTGCCGCTTGCTTGGTGGTACCCCTTGCTTAGTGGTGTTGCAGACTCTGGGGCCTTTCAGAACAGGTGTGTATATATACTGAGATCATGTGACAGATCATGTGACACTTAGATTGCACACAGGTGGACTTTATTTAACTAATTGTGTGACTTCTGAAGGTAATTGGTTGGACCAGATCTTATTTAGGGGCTTCATAGCAAATGGGGTGAATAAATATGCACGCACCACTTTTCCGTTATTTATTGTTAGAATTTTTTGAAACAATTTATTTTTTTCATTTCACTTCACCAATTTGGACTATTTTGTGTATGTCCATTACATGAAATCCAAATAAAAATCAATTTAAATTACAGGTTGTAATGCAACAAAATAGGAAAAACGCCAAGAGGGATGCAGTGAAAATAATAAAAAAATAGAATAATGAAGAAAGCTTTATGCGACATCTTTTTCAGAACGGACCCATCACACCTTTTTGTTTGTCTAAGAGTGTGATAATAACAAGCACAACCATCATCATCATCGTCATCTGCAGGCAGTCAAAGCAGTTGAAAATGTGGCTAATTCATTCAGTAATACTGGTCTGATAGTAGATACAGACAGATCAACTAAACATCTTTATGAATCAACTATCCTCTTCCTCAGAACAATGACTGACTGTTTCCTTGTCTCAGTTTAAGTGAATGGCATGCGTGCGTGTATGCAAAAGAGAGAGGTAGAGAGATGTGAATGGTGTAAATGGAGCACTTAACAATAACATCAGAAACCTGCTGATCAGAAAGCTGTGTGTGTGTGTTCAGTGTGTGGAGGGTGAGGTGTGCACGTGCTGCCGGTGGCTGGGTTAAAAAGACTGAACCTAGAGGTTGATTTTCAGAGGGGGGTTCTACACACACACACACTGAGTCACCAGGAGACGATTTGTTGTTTTGTTCAAGGACAGGCAAAATTAATTAAAACTTCAACTTCGTAACCAGGAACTACTAACCAATGATCATGTAAGTGTGACTAATGTTAAACAGGCTCACTCCATTACTAACTGACTCAAAGACCCTCTGGAATAAAAAACTATTACAGGCAAGCATGAAAGCACATACACACACCTGATGGCCAACAGAGTAGAAACATGTGTCCTCCTGAGTGGACTGAGGGGGAAATTGAGCTCTGAGCCTCTGATTGGCTAACTCAGATCTTCCCTTAATTAATGAAGCCAATCTCCTCCTGTCACACATGCATGTCACACTCTGGGGTACAGTAGTACTTACCAAATATAGAGTAGACCATGGCCACCACCAGGTCAGCAGCCTCAGGGATGTTGGAGTGGAACGTGCTGTTATCTGCTAGCCAGCCCATCTGAGACAAGACAAACACACACACACACACAGTAAATACACACACAGTGAATACACACAAACATATTGTGAATACACACACACACCATGCATATATACCGATTTCATACAAACAGAAATATTCATTTTCAAACCCAGTAAAAAGCTTCCTGTCACAGTCGCACCTCTGTAGCATCTTTCCCCTGCTCTGTGCTTTGAGGGAAATTTCTGTGGGATTGTGAAAGGTGTAAAAACCTCACAGCGACTCACCTGATAATACTAGATCTGAGCCTTGACTAACACTCCTGACTCTACCTCAATGAAAAACTAGACTGAGCGTGAGAGATGGAGAAAGATGAGGAGAAGAGTTTAAGGCAGCCAGATAGAAAGTAATACTGCCCCCATGAAAATGAATAAATGCCTTTGGTAACTCTCACTAAATGTGGAGGGAATACATACATAACCTGTGTGTCTTGACCTGTGAAGTCCCATAGTAATAGCCCCATGGTGTTTCAATGGAAGAAAAATAAGCCTGATTTTCTCTTGCGTTGACCTAGCAGCCGGGGCTTTTGTGTGTCAGTGTGTGAGAGACCGAGAAACAGAGGAAGACAAAGATAGGAGACAGAGAGGGAGTATGAGAGAGAAAGTAAGAGCGAGAGAAAGTGAAAGAGAGAGACAGAGCAAGAGAGAGACAGAGAAAGATAGTATGAGAGAGGACAGAGACAGAGAGAACAGGGAGACAGAGAGCGAGACAGCTGGTACGGGGACTCTGTTCACAAACACAAACAGACCCAACAGAGCCCCAGGACAGCAACACAATTAGACCCAACCAAATCATGAGAAAACAAAAAGATAATTACTTGAAACATTGGAAAGAATCAACAAAAAAACAGCGCAAACTGGAATGTTATTTGGCCCAAACAGAGGGTACACAGTAGCAGAATACCTGACCACTGTCACTGACCTAAAATTAAGGAAAGCTTTGACTATGTACAGACTCCGTGAACATAACCTTGCTATTTTGAAAGGCCGCCGTAGGCAGACCTGGCTCTCAAGAGAAGACAGGCTATGTGCCTACTGCCCACAAAATGAGGTGGAAACTGAGCTACACTTCCTAACCTCCTGTCAGCTGTATGACTATATTAGAGACACATACAGTATTTCCCTCAGATTACACAGACCCACAAAGAATTTGAAAACAAATCCAATCTTGATAAACTCCCATATCTATTGGGTAAAATACCACAGTGTTCCATCACTGCAGCAAGATTTGTGACCTGTTGCCACAAGAAAAGGGAAACCAGTGGAGCACAAACACCATTGTAAACACAACCTATATTTATCTGTTTATTTATTTTCCCTTTTATATTTCAACTATTTGAACATTGTTACAACAATGTACATAGCCAATACTGTAACATTTGAATTGTCAATATTATTAAAACACTTTTGTGAGTGTAATGTTTACTGTTAATTTCTGATGGTTTATTTCCCATTATGTTTATTGTCTATTCCAGTTGGGGTACTTGGCCAATCCACAGGTGGTACTTGAGAAGACTCATGAGGCCATAGGCTTACTGGTAAAATGCACATGATGGGGTACTTCAGGGGAACTCCAGCCAGAGCAAAATTCAGTTGGTGGTACAGTAACCGAAAAAGGTTGGGAACCACTGGTCTATTCGAATTGCTTTGGCAACGTAAACACGTTTCCCAAGCCAGTACAGCCCATTGAATTGAATTGAATTGAGAGAGAGAGAGAGAGATAAAGAGAGAACAGAGGAAATTGCCTCACCCGGTTCTCAGTTAAATGGATGGTTATACTTTCATATCAATGAATATGCAGTATACCAGTATAACGCATTACATATTAAAAACTATTATCTGAATTAATATAATGAACAGAGCATGGTAAGAGCATGAAATACCCACATAAAATATTCAGTGATCACTGACACCCCTTACTATACTACCCTTAAAGAAAAACCACACACACATGCACACAACCCTCTTAATGCAACAACTGTTCAAAACAGAGCAATCAAGCGCTGAGCAGCCTGGATCAAAAGCGCTCCCTGTCAGCGGTGCGGTTGGTTTGGTATTTGAAACAGAATGTAGTGAGTGACATGCTTATCTAAACGACACGCATGCCTAAACATTTTTTTTGAGAGAAATAAGCTTTTTGTGCATATGGAACATTTCTGTGATATTTTATTTCAGCTCATGAAACATGGGACCAACACTTTACATGTTGTGTTTATATTTTTGTTCAGTATATTTCAGTGGGGAATGACTGTCCACTGGAGTGTGGTGCTGAACTTCGAAGTTCGGATTCCGTCGTTGTCCATTTGTTGTTATTTATTAGGATCCCCATTAGCCACAGCAAAAGGAGCAACTACTCTTCCTGGGGTCCACATGAAACATGACATAGTACAGAACTTTATTAGACAAGAACTGAACTACATCAATTTAAAACGTCACATAGCCTACATATCAGTACATACACACTATCTAGGTCTAATACATAATACAGTGCAAATTACAATACAAGATATACTGTATAAAATGGCTGTGTCTCTTCACAGTCCCCTGTGTGCAGTAAGGTGGGGGTTTTTATCCGTTTTTTGTATCCGTTTTTTTGCTAGCTTGAGTTACCTGGAGTGGCAGCGAGTTCCATGTAGTCATGGTTCTATTTAATACTGTGCATTTCCCAGCCTCTGTTCTGGACCTGGGGACTGTGAAGAGATCTCTGGTTGCCTGTCTTGTGTTGTACTGATGCCAATGTACCGAACTGTGTGCCAACTACTTGAACAGGCAGTTCGGTACCTTCAACACATCAATACCTCGAACAAAGACCAATAGTGAGGTAGTCAATTTCTCCTCAACTTTGAGCCAGGAGAGATTGACATGCATGTTACTGACACTTGCCCTCCGTGTACGTCTAAGTGTGATACGTGCTGCTTTGTTCTGGACCAACTGCAATTTACCTATGTCCCTCTTTGCCGCACATGACCACACAGCTGGGCAGTAGTCCAGGTACGACAAACTAGGGCCTGTAGGACCTGTCTGGTCGACTGAGATGTCAAGAAGGCAGAGCAACGCTCTATCATGGACAGACCTCTTCCCATTTGAACAACCATTGAGCCTATATGTTTTGACCATTACAGCTTGCCATCTATGGTTACACCCAGCAGTTTAGTCTCCTCAACTTGTTCAATTGCCACATTTTTCAATAATAGATATAAATGAGGTTTAGCATTGAGTGAATGATTTGTCCCAAAAATAATGCTTTTCGTTTTTTGAGATATTTAGCACCAGCCTATTGCTAGTTACCCATTCTAAACCTGACTGGAGCTCTATGTTAAGGGTGTCAGTTATTTATTTGTCTGTTGCAGCCGACATGTACACTGTTGAGTCGTCACCATACATAGACACCCAGGCTTTATTCAAGGTCAGTGGAAGGTCATTAGTAAAAACAGAAAACAATTGACTGGTGCTGAATCTCTGATCGCTGCTATTACATCTGGTCTGTTTACTGAAGCCACATCGGCCCTTTCACTCTTTGACAAAGTCACCACATGCAGTAAAGATTCATGATAACAAACGTACTACACCACAGCACTGCTTGACTTACTATATATAACTAACAATCAACAGGTGCTGTTTGGTGGTCTGGACACAAACTGTTCATTCCTCTTCCTTATTTTGTACTCTATCACCTAACCCTGTGTGTGTGTGTGTGTGTGTGTGTGTGTGTGTGTGTGTGTTGGCAGTGGGAGATTACTCAGGCTAAGATATATGGGCTAATATATTGACATCAACCTGTAATTGATTATTCGATACCCAAGCCAAATGTTCCAAAGCACTAAATTCTCTCCTGTCATTATGTCCAAACTCACTTACAATCTCTCTATTTATGTTAATTCTCCCCTCCTCCTTTAGAATATCCCCTCTGCTTTCTCATCCATATCATACTGTGCTGCTGTCACAGACTAAAAGGCATACATGTGTGCTGTGTACTGTCGCTCAGGCTGGGCTAGAACCAGGCAAGCAATGAGCTGCACCTGCCAGCCTCCCACAGTACAGTTGTAAAATAAGGTGTGCATCCCAATTGGCATCTTATTCCCTACATAGTGCACTACTTTTGACCAGGGTCCATAGGGCTCTGGTCGTGGGTTCTGGTCAATAGTTGTGCACTATTAAGGGAATAGGGTGCCATTTGGGATGCAGATGAATTGTTTCACAGGTTGGTCTCCCGATGTGAGCTGATTTAGTGTAGACTGTAAATGTAGAGAATATTGTGGTCGGCAGTCCTGAGGCGGCAGGTCAGAACGTGTCGTGTGGTACTGTACTGGAGCCGTGCAGAAAGCCTCTGAACTGACTTCCTCTCGGCGCGCGCTGCCTGCTCTCACTCCAACAGCAGAACGATAAATCAGCATGAATGGGCATTTCTGGAGCGGAGCAGAACGCCTCTGCACTGACTTCCTCTCGGCGCGCGCTGCCTAATCTCACTCCCACAGCAGAACGATAAATCAGCATGAATGGACATTTCTGGTCTCGTGAGATACGCCTGAAGCACTGGTGCGCAATGCCTTTATTATTCTACAAGAGAGACTGCGGCTAATGGGGATCCTAATAAATAACAATAACAAGTGGACAACGACGGAATCGGAACTTCGAAGTTCAACACCACACTCCAGTGGACAGTCATTCCCCACTGAAATATACTGAACAAAAATATAAACACAACATGTAAAGTGTTGGTCCCATGTTTCATGAGCTGAAATAAAATATCACAGAAATGTTCCATAAATTACGCCACTATAGCATATAACAACACTATAGCAACACTGTCAATATCTATTTTGTGCTTTTCATTTAAAACAAATCTTAAGGTTCTCCTGAATGACAGGCCAACGTGTCCTGGCCACCCTTTCAAATTCAAATCAGCATACATATCATTAATTATTTAGAAGGGTATTCAAGAAAACGAATAAACATGTTATTAAAGTACCGGTATACAATTGTTTTGCTATTTTCAAATGAAACATGCAAATTAGTTTGTTAGCAAAACCGTGCTGGATGTGATGCAGTGGTGGGCAGCGGAATGTGTTTTAATTATCCAAAAATGAAACCTATGGTTGCAAACAAAATGTTTATATGCATCATTATAATTGCCGTATTTTAAGAACAGGGACAGAGCTCTGCACAATTTTAAATACAGTGCATCCGGAAAGTATTCAGACCCCTTGACTTTTTACACATTTTGTTATGTTACAGCCTTATTCTAAAATGGATTAAATAGTTTTTTCCCCCTCATTAATCAACACACAATACCCCATAATAACAGGAATAGCTTATTTACATAAGTATTCAGACCGTTTGCTATGAGACTCGAAAGAAAATGAGCTCAGGTGCATCCAGTTTCCATTGATCATTATTGAGATGTTTCTACAACTTGATTGGAGTCCACCTGTGGTAAATTAAAATGATTGGACATGAAAGGCACACACCTGTCTATATAAGGTCCCACAGTTGACAGTGCATGTCAGAGCAAAAACCAAGCCATGAGGTTGAAGGAATTGTCCATAGAGCTCCGAGACAGGATTGTGTTGAGGCACAGATCTGGGGAAGGGTACCAAAACATGTATGCAGCATTGAAGGTCCCCAAGAACAGTGGCCTCCATCATTCTTAAATGGAAGAAGTTAAGAACCACCATGACTCTTCCTAGAGCTGGCCGCCCGGCCAAACTGAGCAATCGGGGGAGAACGGCCTTGGTCAGGGACGTGACCAAGAACCCGTTGGTCACTCTGACAGAACTCCAGAGTTTCTCTTGAGATGGGAGAACCTTCTAGAAGGACAACCATCTCTGCAGCACTCCACCAATCAGGCCTTTATGGTAGTGACCAGACGGAAGCCACTCCTCAGTAAAAGGCACATGACAGCCCGCTTGGAGTTTGCCAAAAGGCACCTAAAGGACTCTCAGACCTTGAGAAACAAGATTCTCTAGTCTGATTAAACCAACATTGAACTCTATGGCCTGAATGCCAAGCATTACGTCTGGAGGAAACCTAGCAACATCCCTACGGTGAAGCATGGTGTTGGCAGCATCATGCTGTGGGGATGTTTTTCAGCGGCAGGGACTGGGAGACTAGTCAGGATCGAGGGAAAGATGACTGGAGCAAAGTACAAAGAGATCCTTGATGAAAACCTGCTCCAGAGAGCTCAGGACCTCAATCTGGGTCGAAGGTTCACCTTCCAACAGGACAACGATCCTAAGTACACAGCCAAGACAACGCAGGAGTGGCATCGGGACAAGTCTCTTAATGTCCTTGAGTGGCCCAGTCAGAGACTGGACTTGATCCGGATCAAACATCTCTGGAGAGACCTGAAAATAGCTGTGCAGCGACGCTCCTCATCCAACCTGACAGAGCTTGAGAGGATCTGCAGAGAAGAATGGGAGAAACTCCCCAAATACAGGTCTGCCAAGCTTGTAGCATCATACCCAAGAAGACTCGAGGCTGCCAAAGGTGCTTCAACAAAGTACAGAGTAAAGGGTCTGAATACTTATGTAAATGTGATATTTCCTGGGTACACCCTCCAGGTACACACTACAGCATCTCCCCTATAGCCCCTCCAGGTACACACTACAGCATCTCCCCTATAGCCCCTCCAGGTACACACTACAGCATCTCCCCTATAGCCCCTCCAGGTACACACTACAGCATCTCCCCTATAGCCCCTCCAGGTACACACTACAGCATCTCCCCTATAGCTCATCCAGTCTCCACCAGCCCAGGCATGTTCTGCTGCTTCTTGAACCCCTATAGGAGAGAGACTGGCCAGTTAGTTGTATATTAATCTCATCCACCAGCTGGCTCTCTCTACAGTTTAGCCTGGGGATGAGGTTTGTTTTATATTGACCCACCCTCAAACATTCTGAATACATTACTGTGTGGTACATGTGAAGGAAGGCATGAGGCTAAAAACTGGCTGCTAGACACACAAACGGAATGTGTTGATTTTATGCTGCTCAACTTTCCTTGTGGACAAAAACTGCTGAAAATATATGTACATAATAGCCACCCATGTCCATCCTTGTTAGTTCCTCCAGCTAATACTGTAGGCTACTCTGACTGAATACCCACAGCAGTTAAGCAAATCATCATGTGTGCTTTTCAAAGGTGCACCTCAACGTGTGTGTGTCATAGTGATATGTGTGCCATTCTCTCAATGACAGCGCACAGAGTGAAAAAGCAGCAGGTCCAGCTGTGCCCAGTGAGAGCGCGCCGTGTGGCGGGGACTGCCCCATGGTCAGTGAGTCAGTCTCCTTATTCTCGCTGTTTCGGGTTGCGTATCCTGACAGCTCTGTCACTGTAGAATTCAACTGTGGCCGTGCGCCATGGTAATGCGTAAGGTTGACCAACCTTCCCAATTGTTACAGCAAACAAAACACTCCGTGCTGTCATCCACATAGCCTACAACTCTTCGTCCGGTCTGATGCATGCGGCACCTGTGGCTATCCATCCTCTGACTAAAATCACACACCCACAATCCTCTCCCAATGCATCGAGTCTTACCTCTCTGTGGTTCTCTGACTCTGCCAGTCTCAGTCTGTATAATTCCCTGAGAATCGAGGGAACTCCTCCGGTCATGATGCGAGGATGCCCGTGCGCAGCTGACACTTCACCTGTGAGTGAGAACCGAACCTTTTGCAAACGTTCCAAAGCCGTTTATGACGCCGCGTGAATAAAGGGCAGTTCCTCTCATGTTAAATCCTATCATGTTAAATCAGAATAGCAGTCCAAGCAGGCGCAGCGCGAAACGTGAGGAACGGGAGAGGAGAGGTGTGTACCTAATTCCAAGTTCCTCCGGCTCACGCGCATGGCAGTGGGGCAGCAGTGGCTGACTTCTCCGCATTTAGTCAATTTAAAAAAGCCTAGCATGACGCGGGATTGGTCACTGACTACACGAGATGCCCGTTCCCGCCGGTGTCCGCGGATTTATTTTAATAGATCTAGAAGTTCGGACTTAAAGCTACTAGCTTGCGCTGGGGAACAGCTAGGCTCTTTTTTGATCGGCAGATTTATACACATGCGTATCAGACCAATTAAGGAGCCCACTGAGTTCTTTTCTGAAAGCACGATTCTGTGAATGAGGTCACTTTCCCACTCCACAGCTGAGCTCAGGTAATGGAGATACGGCTGAGCCGAGCGGGCTTTGAGTGCCACTTCCAGGTTCGACAACACAATTCTAAGCAAATTATATTTCAGAAAAGGATAATAAACCAACCTGAAAACGTGGTGCCTGTCACTTATATTTAAGGGGCTATAATATTTTAATAAACTAACCAAATACTGTTTCTGAGAAATAGCCTACGCTATTTCATAACACTCATTCATAAACCATACACTCTAAAAAGTAAAGGTTCCTGGAGGATCCTTCAGGGGTTCTTAAAATTGAAACTGTGGGGGAACCCCTATAAGTTCTTCGAATAACTCTTAATGTACTCCTGAGTGGTCTAAGGCACTGCATCGCAGTGCTAACTGTGCCACTAGATCCTGGTTCGTATCCAGGCTCTGTCGCAGCCGGCCGCGACCGGGAGACTCATGGGCGGCGCACAATTGGCCCAGCGTCGTCCAGGGTAGTGGAGGGAATGGCCGGCAGGGATGTAGCTCAGTTGATAGAGCATGGCGTTTGCAACGCCAGGGTTGTGGGTTCGATTCCCACGGGGGGGGCAGTATAAAAAAATATGTATTCACTAACTGCTTCTTGAACCCCTATAGGAGAGAGACTGGCCAGTTAGTTGTATATTAATCAAAACCAAGGGGACAAGAGGGACCCCCAAGGTGCGCATGCTCGGGTAGTATTCTCTAAGGCTACTAGAGCTGTCATCAAGGCAAAGGGTGGCTATTTGAAGAATCTCAAATATAAAATATATTTTGATTTGTTTTAACACTGTTTTGGTTACTACATGATTCCATATGTGTTATTTCATAGTTTTGATGTCTTCACTATTATTCTACAATGTAGAAAATAGTAAAAATAAAGAAAAACCCTGGAATGAGTAGATGTGTCCAAACGTTTGACTGGTACTGTATGAACACACACACACACACACACACAGTATATACAGTTGAAGTCGGAAGTTTACATACACCTTAGCCAAATACATTTAAACTCAGTTTTTCACAATTCCTGACATTTAATCCTAGTAAAAATTCCCCGTCTTAGGTCAGTTAGAATCACCACTTTATTTTATTTATTTTTTAGCTTTTATTTATTTCATCACATTCCCAGTGGGTCAGAAGTTTACATACACTCAATTAGTATTTGGTAGCATTGCCTTTAAATTGTTGAACTTGGGTCAAATGTTTCGGGTAGCCTTCCACAAGCTTCCCACAATAAGTTGGGTGAATTTTGGCCCATTCCTCCTGACAGAGCTGGTGTAACTGAGTCAGGTTTGTAGGCCTCCTTGCTCGCACACACTTTTTCAGTTATGCCCACACATTTTCTATAGGATTGAGGTCAGGGCTTTGTGATGGCCACTCCAATACCTTGACTTTGTTGTCCTTAAGCCATTTTACCACAACTTTGGAAGTATGCTTGGGGGTCATTGTCCATTTGGAAGACCCATTTGCGACCAAGCTTTAACTTCTTGACTTATGTCTTGAGATGTTGCTTCAATATATCCACATAATTTTCCTTCCTGATGATGCCATCCATTTTGTGAAGTGCACCAGCCCCTCCTGCAGCAAAGTACCCCCACAGCATGATGCTGCCACCCCTGTGCTTCACGGTTGGGATGGTGTTCTTTGGCTTGCATGACCCTCTTTTTCCTCCAAACATAACGATGGTCATTATGGCCAAACAGTTCTATTTTTGTTTCATCAGACCAGAGGACATTTCTCCAAAAAGTACGATCTTTGTCCCCATGTGCAGTTGCAAACTGTAGTCTGGCTTTTTTATAGCATTTTGGAGCAGTGGCTTCTTCCTTGCTGAGCGGCCTTTCAGGTTATGTCGATATAGGACTTGTTTTACTGTGGATATAGATACTTTTGTACCTGTTTCCTCCAGCATCTTCACAAGGTCCTTTGCTGTTGTTCTGGGATTGATTTTCACTTTTCGCACCAAAGTACGTTCATCTCTAAGAGACAGAACGCGTCTCCTTCCTGAGCGGTATGATAGCTGCGTGGTCCCATGGTGTTTATACTTGCGTACTATTGTTTGTACAGATGAACGTGGTACCTTCAGGTGTTTGGAAATTGCTCCCAAGGATGAACCAGACTTGTGGAGGTCTACAATTTATTTTCTGAGGTCTTGGCTTATTTCTTTTGGTTTTCCCATGATGTCAAGCAAAGAGGCACTGAGTTTGAAGGTAGGCCTTGAAATACATCCACAGGTACACCTCCAATTGACTCAAATGATGTCAATTAGCCTATCAGAAGCTTCTAAAGCCATGACATCATTTTCTGGAATTTTCCAAGCTGTTTAAAGGCACAGTCAACTTAGTGTATGTAAACTTCTGACTCACTGGAATTGTGATACAGTGAATTATAACCCACTGCACTGAGGCTAGGAAACAGTATCACCACCGATAAATCTACAATAATCGAGAATTTCAACAAGCATTTTGCTACGGCTGGACATGTTTTCCACCTGGCTACCACTACCCCGGCCACCAGCTCTGCACCCTCCGCTGCAACTTGCCCATGCCCCCCCCCCCCCCCCGCTTCTCCTTCACACAAATTCCGACAGCTGATGTTCTGAAAGAGCTGCAAAATCTGGACCCCTACAAATCATCTGGGCTAGACAATCTGAACCCTTTCGTTCTAAAATTAGCAGCCGAAATTGTCGCAACCCCTAATACTAGCCTGTTCAACCTCTCTTTCGTAACGTCTGAGATCCCCAGAGATTGGAAAGCTGCCACGGTCATCCCCCTTTTCAAAGGGGGTGACACTCTAGATCCAAACTGTTACAGACCTATATTCATCCTGCCCTGCCTTTCGAAAGTTTTTGAAAGCCAAGTTAACAAACAGATCACCGACCATTTCGAATCCCATTGTACCTTCTCCGCTATGCAATCCGGTTTCCGAGCTGGTCATGGGTGCACCTCAGCCACGCTCAAGGTCCTAAACGATATTATAACCGTGATCGATAATAGACAGTACTGTGCAGCCGTCTTCATCGACCTGGCCAAGGCTTTCGACTCTGTCAACCACCGCATTCTTATTGGCAGACTAAATAGCCTTGGTTTCTCAAATGACTGCCTCGCCTGGTTCACCAACTACTTCTCAGATAGAGTTCAATGTGTCAAATCGGAGGGCCTGTTGTCTGGACCTATGGCAGTCTCTATGGGGGTGCCACAGGGTTCAATTCTCGGGCCGACTCTATTCTCTGTGTATATCAATGATGTCGCTCTTGCTGCTGGTGACTCTCAGATCCACCTCTACGCAGACGACACCATTTTGCATACATCTGGCCCTTCATTGGACACTGTTAACAAACTTCTAAACGAGCTTCAATGCCATACAACACTCCTTCCGTAGCTTCCAACTGCTCTTAAAACACTAGTAAAACTAAGTGCATGCTCTTCAATCGAACGCTGCTGGCACCCGCCCACCCGACTAGAATCACTACTGTCGGCGGGTCTGACCTAGAGTATGTGGACAACTTCAAATACCTAGGTGTCTGGTTAGACTGTAAACTATCCTTCCAGACTCACATTAAGCATCTCCAATCCAAAGTTAAATCTAGAATCTGCTTCCTATTTCGCAACAAAGCCTCCTTCACTCATGCTGCCAAACATGCCCTCGTAAAACTGACTATCCTACCGATCCTTGACTTCGGCGATGTCATTTACAAAATAGCCTCCAACACTCTACTCAGCAAATTGGATGTAGTCTATCACAGTGCCATCTGTTTTGTCACCAAAGCCCCATATACTACCCACCATTGTGACCTGTATGCTCTTGTTGGCTGGTCCTCACTACATATTCGTCGCCAAACCCACTGGCTCCAGGTCATCTATAAATCACTGCTAGGCAAATCCCCGCCTTAGCTCATTGGTCACCATAGCAACACCCACCCGTAGTATGCGCTCCAGCAGGTATATCTCACTGGTCATCCCCAAAGCCAACACCTCCTTTGGCCGCCATTCCTTCCAGTTCTCTGCTGACAATGACTGGAACAAACTGCAAAAATCTCTGAAGCTGGAGACTCTTATCTCCCTCACTAACTTTAAGCATCAGTTGTCAGAGCACCTTACCGATCACTGCACCTGTACACAGCCCATCTGAAATTAGCCCACCCAACTACCTCATCCCCAAATTGTTATTTTGCTCATTTGCACCCCAGTATCTCTATTTGGACATCATCTCTTGCACATCTATCATTCCAGTGTTAATACTAAATTGTAATTATTTTGCACTATGGCCTATTTACCTCCATAACTTGCTACATTTGCACACACTGTATATATATTTTCTGTTGTATTTTTTACTTTGTTTTGTTTACCCCATATGTAACTCTGTGTTGTTGTTTTTTTAATCGCACTGCTTTGCTTTATCTTGGAAAGGTCACAGTTGTAAATGAGAACTTGTTCTCAACTGGTTTACCTGGTTAAATAAAGGTTACAAAAAAATAAAGAAAATAAAAAATAAGTGAAATAAGAAATAATCTGTCTGTAAACAATTGTTGGAAAAATGACTTGTGTCATGCACAAAGTAGATATCCTAACCGACTTGCCAAAACTATAGTTTGTTAACAAGAAATTGGTGGAGTGGTTGAAAAACGAGTTTTAATGACTCCAACCTAAGTGTATGTAAACTTCCGACTTCAACTGTATACACACACACACAATAATATGTGGACACCCCTTCAAATTTGTGGATTTGGCTATTTCAGCCACACCTGTTGCTGATAGGTGTATAAAAGCGAGCACACAACCATGCAATCTCCATAGACAAACATTAGCAGTAGAATGGCCTTACTGAAGAGCTCAGCGACTTTCAACGTGGCATCATCATAGGATGCCACCTTTCCAACAAGTCAGTTCGTCAAATTTCTGCCCTGCTAGAGCTGCCCCGGTCAACTGTAAGTGCTGTTATTGTGAAGTGGAAACGTCTAGGAGCAACAACAGCTCAGCCGCGAAGTGGTAGGCCACACAAGCTCACAGAACGGGACTGTCAAGTGCTGAAGCGTGTAGAAATCGTCTGTCCTCGGTTGCAACATTCACTACCGAGTTCCAAACTGCCTCTGGAAGCAACGTCAGCACAATAACTGTTCGTTGGGAGCCTCATGAAATGGGTTTCCATGGCCGAGCAGCCGCACACAAGCCTAAGATCACCATGTGCAATGCCAAGCGTCGGCTGGAGTGTTGTAAAGCTTGCCGCCATTAGACTCTGGAGCAGTGGAAACGCTTTCTCTGGAGTGATGAATCACGCTTCACCATCTGGCAGTCTGACGGACGAATCTGGGTTTGGCGGATGCCAGGAGAACGCTACCTGCCCCAATGCATAGTGCCAACTGTAAAGTTTGGTGAAGGAGGAATAATGGTCTGGGGCTGTTTTTCATGGTTCGGGCTAGGCCCCTTAGTTCCAGTGAAGGGAAATCTTAACGCTCCAGCATACAATGACATTCTAGATGATTCTGTGCTTCAAACTTTGTGGCAACAGTTTGGGGAAGGCCTTTTCCTGTTTCAGCATGACAATGCCCCAGTGCACAAAGCGAGGTCCATACGGAAATGTTTTGTCGAGATCGGTATGGAAGAACTTGACCGGCCTGCACAGAGCCCTGACCTCAACCCCATCGAACACCTTTGGGATGAATTGGAACGCTGACTTCGAGCCAGGCCTAATCGCCCAACATCAGTGCCCTACCTCACTAATGCTAGTGGCTGAATGGAAGCAAGTCCCCACAGCAATGTTCCAACATCTAGTGGAAAGCCTTCCCAGAAGAGTGGAGGCTGTTATAGCAGCAAAGGGGGGACAAACTCCATATTAATGCCCATGATTTTGGAATGAGACGTTTGACGAGCAGGTGTCCACATACTTTTGGTCATGTAGTGTGTGTATATATATATATATATATATATATATATATATATAGAATTGAAGACTTCAAAATTATGAAATAACACATATGGAATCATGTAGTAACCAAAAAAGTGAGATTCCTCAAATAGCCACCCTTTGCCTTGATGACAGCTTTGCACACTCTTGGCATTCTCTCAACCAGCTTCACCTGAAATGCTTTTCCAACAGTCTTGAAGGAGGTCCCACATATGCTGAGCACTTGTTGGCTGCTTTTCCTTCACTCTGCGGTCCGACTCATCCCAAACCATCTCAATTTGGTTTTGATGTCTTCACTATTATTAATTTTGATGTCGTCACTATTATTCTACAATGTAAGAATACAATGAGTAGGTGTGTCCAAACTTTTGACTTGTACTGTATATATTTAAATGTTTTTGTCATTTAGCAGGTACTTTAATCCAGAGCGATTTACAGGAGCAATTAGGGTTAATTGCCTTGCTCAATGGCACCGACAGATTTTTCACCTAGTCGGCTCTGGGACCTTTCAGTTACTGGCCCAATAATAATAATAATAATAATAATAATAATAATAATAATAATAATAATAAGCCATTTAGCAGACGCTTTTATCCAAAGCGACTTACAGTCATGCGTGCATACATTTTTGTGTATGGGTGGTCCCGGGGATCGAACCCACTACCTTGGCGTTACAAGCGCCGTGCTCTACCAGCTGAGCTACAGAGGACCACAATACTCTTAACCACTAGGCTACCTGCTGCCCCATGTAAGTAGCTTTGTCAGTTTGTGACAACGGCTGGTGTAAAAAGGGCTTTATAAAATACATTTGATTGATTGACTTTACCTTGATCCTGTGACAAAGGCCACAGAAGCTTAGTCGAGGACAGAGGGGGTTGAGAGAGTGAGGACAAGAGACCCAAATGACTCACTTTCATTTTCTTTGTGGGTGAAAGGGTTCTACCGAGAACCATAAAGGGTTCTTCTACAGGGACAAGCCTGAAGAACCCTTTTTCCCCCCCAAGAGTGTAGAGACCCATAGGGTTGACTTTACAACTTTACTTATGTTAACTCATTAGATACCAACAAGATTATTAATGCTTTAATTACAGAATAGCAACATCACGACTAAATCAACGTTTTGCCCAGATATGGTAAGTTGAGTTCTGTCTGTGTATCCTTGAATGTGAAAGCTCATGGCTAAGGATCCGTTTTAAAACACTCCATTTTACAACAGAAGTGATTTTCAAACACTTGAAATTGCATCTCTCGGATGCCACCTTTTTCAGAAATTATCAGTCTTCAGAAATGGGAGAATCCATATAACTGAGCAAAACTGAAAGAGATAGATAAACATCAGCAAACCTGAAGCAACGCCAAGGAAGTGCAAGTGTGTGTGCCAGCGAGAAAGAGTGACAGGACAGCATGACATGAAGACGTCGCTCTTAATGAATTTCAATTATAAAAAGCATAATAAGTGCAATCCATTCAACAGAGATGGCATTGAGAGACGAAGCAGACGGACAGAGAGGCTAATTGAGGGTCATTCATTGCATCTACAATCAACCCTTCCTTAAACTATAATCAAAGAGACCGTCACTAAGGCTGCATTTACACAGGCAGCCCAATTCTGACCTTTCTTTTCCACTAATTGGTCTTTTGACGACTCACATCAGATCTTTTTCAGAGCTGATCTGATTGGTCAAAAGACCAATTAGTGAGGGGAAAAAATCTAAATTGGGCTGCCTGTGTAAACGCAGCCTACGTCTGCTTCTCAAATGGCACCCCATTCCATTTATAGTGTCCATAGGGCTCTGGTCAAAAGTAGTGTAATATATAGAGAATAGGATGCCATTTGGGACACATCCTAAAACTCAGTCAGTCTGAAAAGTATAACTACAAATCACAACGTCGGGGAGACAGTTACTGTATCTCACAGCCCACATCATTGGTTACGTTTTATTTCTATTTACAGTCAATTTGTTATAAATATAATACATAATCTGAAAAGCAGTTGAGTAAATACATACATTTAAATAACAGCTTGAGCACAAGGTGAAGGTCCAATGAGGGAGAAGTATAGGGATCATGTTGATTTGATTGGTTCATAAGTTTGTTTGTTTGTTTTGTAGAAAATGAAATGTGTACACGTGGGGACTGACAGCACAGTCAGTACAAATGGACTACAGACCAACAACAGACAGGCTCACAGACAGGTGGGCAGGCAGTATCTGTATCGGGACCTGTCAGTCAAAGAGTTTGTTTGTCAGTCACATAGTATAGTGGTTAAACTCTGGGTCATATTCTAAAGTGTTTGTGATGTTCTGATGGTCTGGTCCATGTGACCACACAACAGAAACCACTCTGTGGTCATGGTCAGTCTCATTGAGGCAGAGGCAGTTTTTCCTACTTCCTCATCCAGGTTAATCCAAGAAGTAAATGACGTCTGTCGCCAAGGTGACAACCGCTCAACAACAACCTGTGAGTAGTTATTCAACACTAAAAAGAAAATACATCTCTGGCGGCAGACAGATGACACCAGTGCCGTCTGAGTTTAGAACGTCTGTCTGTTCTCCTCCCCTTTCACAGGTTGATTTCATCAAATAGAAAAGGTCAAAACCAAAGCGCTTCAGCTGAGATGACGGATTAATAATATGCTGAGAGAGAAAATAGATCCTTCTTCCACATGGAAGTCCATTATGCTTTGCTTTGTGGCTGGGACATAAAATAGCTACTGGGGGGTTTATTCAACAACAGTCTGACCATCGCAGTGGTTACAAGCTCAACTGATGCACAATTTCATTTAAACATTTGATCTCTTTTTTTAAATATATATCTTATCCCCCTGATTTTTATTACGAAATACTAAACAACTGCTTTCCTTAGTCCAGTATTGAGGATATTAGTTTGGAAAAATGGGTCAAATGTTTAGGCCGGGGAGTGGAGTGGATGATTTGAGACATGGTGGAAAGATATTTCTGCTTGGTAGCTGGTTTCTTAACCAATGGGGAGCCTTGGTAGTGATGATTTGCAGATAATTGTTCATTGGTTATTGATGGGTGGGCGGGCAGACAGAATTAGGATCCTATTCATTAGGACACACCGTAGTAAAACCTTTTGCAACGGAAAATGAAAAAGAGCATTTCAAGTAGTCCCTCCCTGTTTCAGACCGTTTTCTGCCTAATGAAGACAGCCCAGTGTTCAAGCATTGTTGATGGTGAAGAGCGGGTGATTTAGGATTTGGAAGATATTTCTTGCTGGGTGGGTCTCCGAGCTCTCAACCCTGTTGTTGCCAACCAATGGGGAGTCTTGGTAGTGATGATTGACAGATGGTGGTTAATTGGTTATTGAAGAGGGGGCGGGACAATGTTCAGGTGCTGTTAATGATGATTAGTGCGGGCGTGGCCGTCTGCTGGCTGGTCTCACACATGGCTCCCTGGTCCGCCAGCTTGGCGAAGACCCGTGGAGTTCCCAGGTTATAGACGCCAGCATGCAGGAAGCCGGCTCTCAACGGCAGCCGCATCACTTCCTGTGCCCTCAACTGCAGCTTGTATTGAGTCTGGCCCAGCCATGTAAACGAACCGTGCACCTCAAGAGACTCAGGACTGATGGAGGGAGGAAAAGAGAGAGAGAAAAGGGGATGATGACAGAGGAGGGGGAGGAGAGGAAAACAGAAAGATAATTAAAACCAGGAAGATGAAGAGGATGTAGTTATCAGGTAAACATTTGCTCAGGGACATTACATTTTACATTTTAGTAATTTAGCAGACGCTCTTATCCAGAGCGACTTACAGTTAGTGAGTGCATACATCATTTTTTATACTGGCCCCCCATGGGAATCGAACCCACAACCCTGGCGTTGCAAACGCCATGCTCCACCAACTGAGCTACATCCCTGCCGGTCATTCCCTCCCCTACCCTGGACGACGCTGAGCCAATTGTGCGCCGCCCCATGGGTCTCCCGGTCGCGGCCGGCTACGACAGAGCCTGGATTCGAACCAGGATCTCTAGTGGCACAGCTAGCACTGCGATGCAGTGCCTTAGACCACTGCGCCACTCGGGAGACATGCGGAACAGATGGCAGATTTTAAAGATGCACTATGCAGAAATCACTCCATGCCATCATGCCATTTCCTGGTTGCAATATTATAATGGTTCGCCTAATTTAAGTTTGTAACAAAACAAGCAAGTATCGTGTAAAGAATCATTGCATCATCTAAACGGCTGTGAAATATATTTTCCATAACCAAAAATATAGTATTTTGAAGCTGGTGTACAACACCAAAAGTAAAATATGCAAAAACGAAGATTAAGCACTTGAAGCATAGAAATAGTGCACATAGAACAGATCTACAGCTTCTTAGTCTTGCTTTCAATGAGAATGATAGATCTATAAGAATAATTTCTATGTGAATTTGGTTGGGTTGCCCAAAAAGTTACATATTGCATCTTTAACAGTACAGTGTGGAGCTAATGCATTGTAATAGGAGAACATTGGACTACGGCCTACTGTGGCTGTGTGTGTGATTATATTTACCTGGTAGTTTTGTGTCGTAGGTCAATGATGGCATCAACGTGAGCCAGGGAGCAGTTAGACAGAGTCAAAGTGACTGGAACCATACAGAGACTACATATAGACAGAGGGGGGGGGGGGGGGGGGGGGGGGGGGAGGGAGAGGGAGGGAGGGAGGGAGGGAGCGAGGGAGGGAGGGAGCGAGGGAGGGAGGGAGGGAGAGGGAGGGAGCGAGGGAGGAGGGAGGGAGAGAGAGGGAGCGAGCGAGCGAGAATGTGAAATAGAGATAGATGGAGAGAAAGAGAGATATGGTTATTATACTCATTCTAAGTCACATTAACTGAAGCACAGCACTTAAGGTCCCTGACTATCAGTCTAATGTTTTTCCTCACTGTCTCCAGATCGCACTAAGTTATAATTTTATCTCTTCAAAGCACTTCTCTTCCGCTGGCTACAGCAGTTCTGGGTTTCCTAGAAATAAATGGCACTAACAGTGGAGTTTAGAACCAAGTCATGTCAAAAGATAATCGTGTTAGTCCAGTTCTGACTAGTGAATTATGCGAGAGTACATGTGTCACACAAACAACCACCCTCCGGACAGGCAGGCTGTCGGGCTCATGAACTGTTTCAGTTTAAAACAGATTATTATAGTGCCTGTTATATAGTGCCTGTTCAGAAGTAATTCTGCACTCCCATATCCTGTGGGGAGAGAGGAGAGAAAGAGAGAGCGAGAGAGACAGGTGTGCCAGTGTGTGTATGTGTCCCTATGTGCTTGTGTCCCTGTGCACCCCTGGATGTATTTATTGGGGCCGGGACGATACCAGTATTGCGATACACGTTAGTATCGTGGCAAGGAAACAAAACACAAAGCTGATTTAACTTCTTTAGGAAAACAGCCCTAATGTTGAAACACATCATTATGTTGTCATCCAGAGTCACATTTATTCATTTTCCAAGCTACAGCACACAGTATTTTACAAACAGCAGGTTTTTAAAGGACCAAAGAGTTTGGTCTACTTCGTGTTTTCATTTTTCCATGGAAAAAATATTGTGATACTGGTATCATCACGGCCCTAGTATTTCTGTCTTCCTGTCTCTTCCTCTGTCTGTATTTCAGTGCTCCAGGTGTCACCTGGCCCCTGAGCCATTCTGTTCTGCCACCCCACGCCACCACCCCTCCTCCTCTTCCCTGCCGCTGTGAGTCTCCATGGAGATAATAGAGTGCTGGGGGGTGAAGGTGTCCCCAGAGTCTAGTCACATCGATCCAGGTGCCAGAGTTCTCTAAGCCTGGCCTCCCTTGGCAGTGCCATCAACACCCACACAACTAAGACAGGTACACCAAGACCCACTGGGCAGGGAGGAGGGAGAAGAGCAGACACGTCTCCCTTTTGTTGGCTTTGTTAAGAAGTCCAGGCATAGATTCTGCTATAGGGCAGTGCCATCCTAACCCACACAACTAGGACAGGTACCAAGACCCATGGGAAGAGAGAAGCAAAGAGATATCTCCCCTTTTCTTGGCTGGGTTTATAAAGCACAGTCAGAGAGACTGGTGGTGCAGTATCCACGTGAGACATTCTGTAACCACATATAGATTGATAGACTGTTGCTCTGGGTGTGTGAGTGTGGTGCAATATATCCATAGGACCTATGTATTAATCTATGGCTGTAATTATGTGTGTGTGTGTATGTATGTATGCATGCGTGTGTGTGTGTGTGAACATGTCTGCGTGCGTGACGTGTTACCTCTTCTGTATGAAGGGGTGGCTGTAGCTCTCGGGGTAGTGCAGGTTGGTCTTGATGAGGTGGGAGAGCTGTTCCATAGAGGGCCGTGTCATAGGAGGAGGAAGCTCTGGTTTAAACTTCAGCAGCACCATCTCCTGAGCCTCCTACAATACCACAGGTTAGAGGAACAGAACAGAATCCACACCATTATACATACAGCCTCCTACAATAGGACAGAGGAACAGAATACACACCAACCCCATTACAACACACCACCTATACATCTCCAAAGCCTCCTACTACACAACAGAGGAACAAAGACCATTGTGTCAAACACACACTGCTTTTATATACACGTAGTTACAGACAATTTGTTGTGGTATAATTTGTTCGCCATTGTGCAGTCTGCCCTGTGCAGAACATTTGCTGTTACAAAATATAAAATGAATGGCCTCTGGAAAAATGCCTTGCAGACATTCAGAGAACTATAATTCAACGTTTTGACAATAGAAAACGTTTCAGTTGGTGTGTGTGTGTGTGGGGGGGAATTCTATATCAATACATTTATGTTTTTATCTAAAAACATTTACAGTGAGGGAAAAAAGTATTTGATCCCCTGCTGATTTTGTACGTTTGCCCACTGACAAAGAAATGATCAGTCTATAATTTTAATGGTAGGTTTATTTGAACAGTGAGAGACAGAATAACAACAATAAAATCCAGAAAAACGCATGTAAAACATGTTATAAAAGACACCTGTCCACAGAAGCAATCAATCAGATTCCAAACTCTCCACCATGGCCAAGACCAAAGAGCTCTCCAAGGATGTCAGGGACAAGATTGTAGACCTACACAAGGCTGGAATGGGCTACAAGACCATCGTCAAGCAGCTTGGTGAGAAGGTGACAACAGTTGGTGCGATTATCCGCAAATGGAAGAAACACAAAAGAGCTGTCAATCTCCCTCGACCTGGGGCTCCATGCAAGATCTCACCTCGTGGAGTTTCAATGATCATGAGAACGGTGAGGAATCAGCCCAGAACTACACGGGAGGATCTTGTCAATGATCTCAAGGCAGCTGGGACCATAGTCACCAAGAAAACAATTGGTAACACACTACGCCGTGAAGGACTGAAATCCTGCAGCGCCCGCAAGGTCCCCCTGCTCAAGAAAGCACATATACAGGCCCGTCTGAAGTTTGCCAATGAACATCTGAATGATTCAGAGGAGAACTGGGTGAAAGTGTTGTGGTCAGATGAGACCAAAATCGAACTCTTTGGCATCAACTCAACTCGCCGTGTTTGGAGGAGGAGGAATGCTGCCTATGACCCCAAGAACACCATCCCCACCGTCAAACATGGAGGTGGAAACATTATGCTTTGGGGGTGTTTTTCTGCTAAGGGGACAGGACAACTTCACCGCATCAAAGGGACGATGGACGGGGCCATGTACCATCAAATCTTGGGTGAGAACCTCCTTCCCTCAGCCAGGGCATTGAAAATGGGTCGTGGATGGGTATTCCAGCATGACAATGACCCAAAACACACGGCCAAGGCAATAAAGGAGTGGTTCAAGAAGAAGCACATTAAGGTCCTGGAGTGGCCTAGCCAGTCTCCAGACCTTAATTCCATAGAAAATCTGTGGAGGGGGCTGAAGGTTCGAGTTGCCAAACGTCAGGCTCGAAACCTTAATGACTTGGAGAAGATCTGCAAAGAGGAGTGGGACAAAATCTCTCCTGAGATGTGTGCAAACCTGGTGGCCAACTACAAGAAACGTCTGAACTCTGATTGCCAACAAGGGTTTTGCCACCAAGTACTAAGTCATGTTTTGCAAAGGGGTCAAATACTTATTTCCCTCATTAAAATGCAAATCAATTTATAACATTTTTGACATGGGTATTTCTGGATTTTCTTGTTGTTATTCTGTCTCTCACTGTTCAAATAAACCTACCATTAAAATTATAGACTGATAATTTCTTTGTCAGTGGGCAAACGTACAAAATCAGCAGGGGATCAAATACCTTTTTCCCTCACTGTATGAGCCCTATAAATGACATTCCCTTATACTGTATGACATTCTGATATTCAAGCTGAAGTAGGTAGAAATAGAAGCTGTCATTCATAACAATGCCTTTGCTATAGAGGCAATTCTTCTAGAAAATTAGGGTATTTCTATGTGGGAGCAGTGAGTTATTCTGTGAGGAGAGAAAGTTAAAGAGTGACGGCGGGAGGGAGGAAGGTAGGGGAAAAAGGTGGTCTCGGTGGCTTACGTGCAGAGCTATAAAAAGCCACAGGGATAAAGAGGGATGAGACAAGTTATCTTGTGTGCGCCAGTGTTATGAATGAGCGCCGCGGACACTGTTGCTATGCCAATGGCTCGGCTTGGAGGAAGTTGTGTGTCTGAGGGGGAGTAAAAAAAAAAAAAAGTGTCTGACTAAATGTGGATGTGGTCTGGCCGCGTGAGTGGGTGGAAGAGAGAGATAACGAGGGAACGAGGGAGGAAGGTGGTGGCAGATATCACATTTTGTCTCCGTGGTCGTTACTGGAGAGTTATTTTTAGACTGGAAATGAGGTCTGACGATAATAGCAGTTTATATCTCCATCGCAATCTCTCACACACACACTTAAACCAAATCCCACACACAATCATGCTTAAACCACTCAAACACTACTTCCACAGGAGGTAGGCAGAATAAGGGAGATGGAGAAACTGCTTGCATCGTGCAGTGGGTACAGTCTGTGCCTCACAGACGTACACACACGTGCGCACAGACACTGCTAAACTCATCCGGTCATTAAATCACACTTCTGTGTGTGGGAGGGAGGTGTACCGCTGTGATGTGACCGTGTATGGCAAACGTGAATGTAAAAAACTTCAGTGACGTATTTTGTAAAGTGTGACAGTGTGTTTCAGAGAGCATAAAGTCATTGTCATTGAGAAGTGCTTCTCAATCATTCAAGACAGTGGTGACTAACTAGAGAGGTTAACAGGGTTAGAGCCATCTGTCACTTTCTCGCTTTCTCACACGCCAGCCAGACACACACTAGCGATACGCAGGTCAGAGGTTTGTTCACCCGGACCTGCCCACAATTGCTAATAACCCATTCGCAAACGCCCGACTATGCGTGGTAAAGTGAAAATCTGAGGCCCGCACCAGATCCTAACCCACAAATATGAAAAATGGCAACAACAAAAAAATGTGTGGTACAGTCAGAGATAGGTATATGTTTCTGCTTATAATTTCAGACATTTTGGTAGGCTATTTGTTAGTTAACTCTATAGATACATGCAGCTTCTCTTCTGTCATTACTTGTTACCCTAGAATACTAAATAAACCCTTGTTCACCAGAATGTCATAAATCGATAGAATGAATGCTTCAATCTAGTTGACATCGGTAAAGTTCTCTTTCATTTCTGCTTCTCTCACGTAGCAAAGACGTTTAGGGACCGTGGAGAAAATGCAATAACAAAAAAACAAAAAACTGGAAAGATTTTCCATTCTAAATTTCCAAATTACATCAACAAATTGAAAGCTATGGAAACTACCCAACATGTTTCTGATAAAATATTCATCCAAGCTGAACGGAATTCTTATGTCCTCTTAAAATGGCTTATAACACAAATTATGTTCGTGATATTAAGATTCTAACAATGACGATGTGTTATATAGATTAATTTAGTAAAAATCAAGGATGGGGGGGACATTACTTTAAAAATGGCAGAGTATTAAAACATTTAAAATTTGTTTTGCGTCCACATGACGCTCTCAGCTTTTCTAATGTGACACAGTGTTTCAGAGAGATAATGAATTAAGTCATTGAGAAGTGCTGATCAATCAATCAAGACAGTGGTGACTAACAAGAGTAAGGTTAACAGGGTTAGAGCCATCTGTCACTTTCTCTCTCACACATGCGCACGGACACACACACACTAACGGCTTGGTTAATCACTCTCCTATGCATTTGCCTTCATATCTTCATAGACCCCCCCCCCCCCCCCAAAAAAAAAATGAGAGCATGAGTATAAGATTGTGTGTGTCTCTGTGTGTCAGACTTAAAAAGGCTTAAGCAGATAAATCTGGGGCCGGAGCCAAGAGACAGCTACAGTGCATTCAGAAAGTATTCAGACCCCTTGACTTTATCAACATTTTGTTAGGTTACAGCCTTATTCTAAAATTGATTACATTGATGAGGGAAAAAAACAATCTACACACAATACCACATAATGACAAAGCAAAAACAGGTTTTTAGAAATGTTAAAAATTAAATTAAATAAATAAATATCACATTTACATTCAGACCCTTTACTCAGTACCTTGTTGAAGCACCTTTGGCAGCAATTACAGCCTTGAGTCTTCTTGGGTATGATGCTACAAGCTTGGCACACCTGTATTTGGGGAGTTTCTCCCATTCTTCTCTGCAGATCCTCTCAAGCTCTGTCAGGTTGGATGGGGAGCATCGCTGCACAGCTATTTTCAGTTGTCTCCAG